GTGCAGCTACATAACCTGAGGACCTAAACATGGAGTAAATGAGGGGATCCAAAGGAAGAGAAGTGCAGTAACTGAGGAAGAGGATATTAGGGAGAGCAGAAAGAATGCAGGAAATAAAAGAATGTACAAAGGATATAAACCATACTTGCAACCTCAGTGAAGTGCACCACGCGGCATGCGGTGTGGCACCTGCGCATGCGCCGTACCAGCAGCCATTGTTTTTGCTTTTACTTTTTTGTGGTGTATTCATAGATACGGAAGAGTGTACTACGTATGGAACAAATCCTGTTCAAGTATAGCCATGAAAGTTTTTCGTTTTGTCCAAGCATCAACCCTTCACTCTGGCTAAAGGACAAGTATTGGACCATCCCAAGAAGATCAACCAGAGACCCTTCCACTGCCACAATAGATAGAGAAGCAGCAAGACAGGACCAAACACGAGATGACTTCTGGACCACCCTCCTAAAGACATGGAGAAAACTTCCTCTTTTGGACAAGGTGGCCCCTGAATGATGGGAAGAGGTTTGCAGGCAGCCACTCTTGCGAAACAGATGGATAACAGATGATAGAGGGAGGATATTCTGTAGTTCAGAGACACCATGGAAAGGATGGGCAAAGCAGGGGGTAAAACAAGTGGGGGATCTCTGGGATCAGGACATAACAGAGTGGAAAACAGAGAGCCAACTCCTCCAAACTCTCAGGTACTGCCACAATGTGGGAGATGATCTGGAGACACTCATCTTCTCCCTCCCCTTATCTTGGGTACAAATTCTGAGGAAAGGGCCCATACTCGAGGAAAACGACTAGGTGGCCATCAGAGGGGAAGCAGGGAGGATGGGCAGTGTTGTAGAAGCAGGGTCCAGGGAGTAGGGGCCACTGGTGAAGTTTTTCAAACAGATCATACCAATACCCTCCACTGAACAGTCCCAGACGAGGTAGGAGAACTCTATAGCATAAGGGTCCTAAAACGGAAGGACTGGGTTGCATTGCAGCCAGAGACTCCAATACACGAGCTAACATTTGACCTTGCCAACTGGCAATGGACCAGCTGGGGCCATTGTGCAATGAGCCCAGACGTGATGATACTCGTCAACATTACCAGTCCCTATGATTATCGATCTGCTGATGAAATGACAAACAATCGTAATATGTGTGATGATAGAATGAGGTGAGAATCATACACAGACGAAGGAGGAGAGAGGGAGAATAGACAAAGGAGAGAGAAGAAGACAACAGCCCACTTCTACTTCGGGTTCCTCCTCCTCCTGGCCACCTCATCATTCAATAGACTGAATACAATGTCTGAAGTTCTTCCTCAAGGTGCCACGTGGCACGTCAATCTGTCTACATCAGCAAATGGAGAGTATCGTCATCAACCAGGTACGTATCCTCGATAACCACAGTCTTGATCTCCTTCTGAAGTGACAAAGAATCAGAACAGCCTCATCAACCTCGCAGCCAGCCACGTCATCAATCATATACAGGTGGCAGCGGCCACGTCAGCAACGGCGCGTGGCAGCTGCCACGTCAGCATGCCCAGAAGACCATCGCCAGCCAGCACGTTGCCAGCCAGCAGCGCCTTGCTGTCCTCCTCTGCCAGCATATAGCCGGCGTCAAGCCAATGTCGCAATGTCGCAGCATAGCAACAGCGTCAAGTCCACGCGTGAAGTCAGCATTCACGCAAGACTGAACGTTCTCCAGCCAGGAAGTCAACTCTTAAATAGCGTGGATGCGGGGTCTGGACCCCGGGTACTGAGGTCCTGCACCGTCCAGATCTCGATATGAATGAGGGCCCAGATCGGCCAGAAACTGTATTTCTCCCGCCCTGAATGCTGTCTGGGTACCTGCACACAACAAGTGAATGTATCCGTCCATAGGCCTGGGTGCGGTACCTTTGACTCTACAGTTGTCTTTGACTGTTGAATTTCCCTTGTGCTGCGTTTGGTCACACAGCCTCCTCGACAGACTCAGGCTGGGCATGTCTCGGTCACATAGCTTAGCACAGACAACTGAGTCTGTGTCTTACCGGGGGCAAAGTTCTGAGCCCCGGTCTGCTGTTGAACAGGGTTACTGCAATTGGTAACAAGCTAAACAAAAACCCGGATCGACTTGGGAGTGAAAGCCACATATAGGGTGATGAGACCCAGCGTGAACCTCAAAGGAAAAATAGCAGATCGGTGGATGTGCCATCTGAATGTGGGAAGGGAGGCGCTCCACCAGGTCCGGTGGTTCGAGGGGTATAAAACTAAGCCTGCCAAGGTGACATCTTTACCGTGGCGAATCAAGTACAGATGCCTCACCACAAATTTGACCAACCGAATTTTGAACAGAAGGGACTTGCCCTTCCATTGTGCTCACACTGCTATAAAAAATTCTCTTCACAAAAGAATCAGAGAATGGATAGAACATATTTCCGTGCAATGCCCCACGACAGAGCTCACCTGAAGTTGGTGAGACAAAACCTGGAGGCAGTTGGGGACAAACATTGAGTGGCTGAGAGACTGGCGGGCCCTGCTATGTGGAGCATGGCAACCCCCACAGGAAAACACCTTCGCATCAAACAGGTTCAGATTGGGGAGAAGAACAGTCCTATGGGCTGTGTGGGTGAAGAGATAAAGTGGAAAGAGTGAGGCTTGAAGGGTAGGAATCTACAGAAATGATCGAACAAGACATAAAGATTTATCTGCAGGCTAGGTGGTCAGCGATGAAAACGACGATAGGCTCATATAACAAATATGCCGATATTTGCAAATAAATTCCAACATGTTTGTGGGACTGGCTGGGAGGGAACAAGGAGGGTGGATTGCAGAGGTCCAATGGGAAAGGGGGGAAAGACCAGATCAGCCTCCAGTCAAGGACTATACTCTGAGCTTCCACGACGGGTAAGGATTGAGGCATCGATCCTGTTGCAGCATCTCTCAGAGGTATGTTCCCCTCACAAGCAAACTCACTGGTCGAGCTACATCGGTATGGAAATGACTAGATGGAGTCCAGCACGAAGTATAACTGCCAAGGACAATACCTTCAATAAGGCGGTAGACTCACAGACTGAAGAGGCAGCTCCACCAAGATCCTCCAGGCTGGTCGCAGCCAGAGAAGGCAGGGGAGCTTCCTGGACTGAGTGTTCGAGCGGAAGCAGGGCGACCAGGGACACAGCACAGCAACCAAGCCCACGCTCCAAACAGAAAATCAACACCACAATGCCTAGTCTAGTTTTCAGCACTTCAATGTTTGCTGTCAATTCTCCAAAGTCGATGCTAAAAAAAGAGTAATCTTGTTATGTGAATGGGACACCGGACCCTGTTTCCAGGACATGACACTCCCCACCAATAGACCGGAGCCATCAGAGGGGGGCGTGGTATTGGGAGATGCTCGTACCACTGCCAACAGCACGGCCTGACAGATGTTTGAAATAAAAAGAAGGAAAGAAAAAAGGCATGAGAAATAGCCTCAGATGGGTTTTTGGCATGAGAAATGGCCTCAAATAGGCCTTTGGGACATCAGGCTTGACCGTTAGGTGGCAATACTCTCTCCCGGCTTTTTCTTCTTTTTCATTTCGCATCTCACAAATTTACGAAGAGGGCACATGTGACCGTTGATCCAGGTGTGTAATCCTTCTTTTTCTGGGATCTCATGTGCTCGCTTGCCGTACGTGCGCAATTGCCCGCACGGCGTGTGCTTGCAAGTATGGTACAAACCTCTAAGAGGGTGTCACATAGCAAGTTAAGTGAGGGGGGAGCAACACAGTTGAGCAGGTTAGAGGAAGAGAAAAGGTGGAGGAGGACAGAGAAGTCGGAGAAACTGGACCCTTTGCCGAGGTCGAGCCAGAGAGTGGAGAACCCCCTGTTGTTGTACACACATCGAAGGACAATTCTTCAATCAGATTAGATGGAAGGAGCGCACGATCCCAAACGATTGGCAACACTCGATCAGAAGTCACAAACAGAGAATGCATTCGCAGAGAGACTCAGAATAGGGAGGGGGAGACGAGGAGGAGGGGAAGGGGATAGAGGAATAAATCCAAGTAAGGATTTAGGGAAGGTGAGGGTGAGTGTCAGAGAGCAACCGAAATGAAGAACCCAAGTGTACATCACAGTCACGGAGCAAGGATGGACCTGAAGGAGTCTGACGGAAAGAGTTGCAGTGGAGTGTCGGTGAAGAAGAGGTAGCAGCATCTCCGATGTACGAACAACATGTAGGCTGAGCACACGTCACGAACAACATGTAGGCTGAGCACACGTCACCAGCGGTAAGGCAAAGAGGATTCAGAGGTCACAGTCACGGAATAAATGCAAGCAGACACTAGAATAGGCTGGCGAAGAGATCAAACTGGTGGTGCCAGGAACTTGAAACCTCAAGAGAAAGAGATGAAAGCACCTTGATGGTGGCGGCGTGCAAGATACGACGTGGAGACACACCTTGAAAGAGGCACTGGTGGGGTCAGACAGGGCGCAGAGTCCAGTAGCCCGGAGCAGAGAAATTCAAGGTACCCATAGGCAAGTTAGAGGTTAACGGGGAGTGAGTAACCCAGTCTTCTGAGCGCAACAGGTCAATCTGGGGTGGCCTGAGCTGTTCTGTCAACGGCACAAGCGAATCAAGAAAAACTTAACCCAGGAGTCCCATATCCCTTGGTGTCACTTGCTAGGCTTGTTGGTGTTATTTTTTATGTTCTGAAGAAACGATCCCTTGGAGTCTTTAGACGAGAGTAAACCTGTCGGCGGTCATTGTGCCTCTTTTTTTTGTTAATGCCCCTCAGCGTATCATACCTGGGGGCAATTATGTGGCATTCCCATCTGGGCTCCTGACAGTGCCAAGAAGTGCACAGAAAGAGTGTGAGGAGATGAGGTGCGTGCTCACATACATGCAAGAGAGAGAGAGAGAGAGAGAGAGAGAGAGAGAGAGAGAGAGAGAGAGAGAGAGAGAGAGAGAGAGAGAGAGAGAGAGAGATTCATGAAAAATTGACTTCTTTTTTCCCTTTGGGTTGATCTGGGCCATTCCAGTGATTCATGACATTGCGCAGACAATTTTTGACCCAGAGTTCATTGCAGAGCTGTTGAAGCCGCAGGAGATATACTCCACGAAGTCTGTGCATCAGGTTTTGCTGTCAATCCTTTCACCTCTCCTTTTTCTTTTTTTTCTTTTTTTTCATTGCCTGCTTGGGGTCTGACTCCACTGCGTTCAATTTCACACTAGAAATTAAGAGTGCTGAACAGTGCTTCCAGGGGTGAGGTCTCACTTGCAACGAGGATCAGATTAAGTACCTGACCCAGGTCAATTGCAATTTTTTCCCCTCGCTGCAAACACATCCAGACTAAATTCAATCCTCTTTGCTGGTGGGACCTTGCCCCAGAGCTAATATCAGGCATGGAGAGACCTCCATTTCCCCGTCCCCATCTTTGCTCCACTAAATCTCAAAAATGGGAGTCACCTTTTTTTTTTTGGGGGGACTCAATTTCGCTGGGTGTTTTTTTTTTCTGCTTTTTTTTCCTGTAAATTATGTCCCTTGTTTTTGTAAAAATCACATACATTCAGTGTACAGATCAGCATTTATTGCCCTCTGCGGAGGGGATTGACCGATCTTCGTTAGGCTCCTCATGATCTGTTATAGTCTGAAAGGCTAGGCTACCAGAGTGGCTTGGGGCCACGTGTCGGGCCGGGCCAAAAAAGAAAAGGAAAGATGTTATGATGCTGCTCCATCCATAGGGCAAAACTCAAATCGTGAGAAATCCAAGAGATTGAGGGATAAAAAAAAGAGATGGAGTGATATAAAGAGTAGAATAGAAACGAAAGAATCAAAGAAGAAGAATTACACAAGTTACGCCAATGTCTTCCCCCTCATGCTTCCTCCTCATCCCTCGTCTTCTCCTTTACTCCTCTTAATAATCAATTACATGCAACAACAAATGAACGACTGAACATAAATCGTGTCTGAGTGTTCCCCCTTACTGCCAGCAACTCAAAAACCACCTTTCAGCCCTCTCCCCTCTTTGTAGCACCTAGGGATATGGCAGAACATCCATGCTCATTACGGATGTTCAAATGACAATGCAAACACTACTATGCTAGTCCCATCTCCTCCCGCCATAGCCACACTCTCGGGAGATATCCAAGACCAAGCAGGACCCACGTTGGGGCCTTCTTGATGCAGTGCGAACCAAGGAAGAGAAGATGAAGGTCAACCATAGCCAAGGTGAGTCTCTCTATGTCCTACTCTCTTCTACTGCACTTCTCCTTCCTCCTCCAAAGCCGGGGAGGTCTTCGTCTTCACCCTCTGGCTCCACCGCTCTTCAGGCACTCTGCCCAATTTCCCCCTCCAGGCGGAACAGCAGCATGATTGCCGGGTAGGATCCTGCTCTGCTTTGTACACCCGAATGATACTCTTGCACTGTGGCCTCACAGCTTCAGGTACTGCGCTTACCCCTGCCTCTCCGGGATACTGAGTGTACCAGGAGTTCCTGCTTTTTGGTGGGAGCATTATTGCAGCCTGCAAGTCTACCTCAGGGCCTGAATCTTTCCTACCAGACATTAAGATTTGGGCCTGACTACGCATGACCCTTTTGTAAGCTACCGGGCCTTCTGGACCTTTGTTGGCCCTGGCTGAGCTACTGGAAAATCCTTGCCGGGTACTAACCGCCCCCTACTTGGTCCCTGTCCGTCCTAGGCTCTACCAGTAGTCTGTCCTGTCCCAATTTCAGTCTTCCCCTTGTGGTTTCCATGTTTTTTTTTTTTTTTTTTTTTTTTTTCCTTCAATAAAACAGGTCCTTATGGTCCTGGCTCCGTTCCCATTCTGGGGAGCATCAGTCCGGTTCCTATTCCACCGGCAAGTCAGAATATAATAATACATCAAAACACACCCTCACGCTTCCTTCCGTCTGGCCGAAGGAACCCTGATCAGCATTGATTACTCCATCGAAGTGGAGGATTGACTGTCAGCTTGCCCTGCTCACACCTTTCCTCTCAGGACTACTATAAGATCCTGTCAGATAAACCTTGCTCAACAAGAAGGGTTTGAGCGGCTGTCACTGTTGTCAATACTGTCTGAACTCCTAGTCCCGCCGTCCAGTGTCGTGATCTCCTTGACATTCTATCCTATGCTTGTCTTATTCCTGTCCAAAACCTCAGTCCTAAAACCTCAGCCCTACAGAAAGGGTCTAGTCCCTTGAACCACCCCTCTGTCCCACATCATGCCCTAGACAGACACTTTTTCTGAACATGTATATAAGTCAATTCCCTTTTCCTACACCCCCTTGATATCTATCAATCGCCCTACACCCTGTTTTCTTTGGTGCCGTCCAGCTCTAGCTCCACCCATCTTAAGCAATTACGTTCTGCCAAAGTCCGCTATTTTATACTATTTCGAACTGGCCAAAAACTTAAACCCTGAGGTTCCTGAGCTGTTGACCGATGATTAAGACCCTAAAACCCTAAAACCCTAAACCCTCCCTCATTTTTTATCGTGATAAACCTTCTCTGTTGTACCTCTTCCTGATGGTTGTGAACCAAGGGAATTCTTTTTTTTTTTTTCTTTTTTTTTTTTTTTTTTTTTTTTTAAAGGGTTCTACTCCCTTGCTTTCGTCATCCCTTTGCGTGTTTCCATACCCCGACTGCATCCCCCAGTTATGGTGATCAGAGACTGACACTTTTCCATTAAAGTTCTTGTTCGGGGGTGCCTTGCCCGTGCGCTGTGCTTTGCTGTCCAACGTTTCTTCCTGAACTGGAGTTGTGCCATTCCTTCCAACAGATGCCGTCGTCCCGCAACTCAGCAACTTTCCCACTTATCAGCCAATTCCTGCTGAAGTTCCTTGTAGCCTTCTTTTGCTGCTCTTCATCCTCCGACCAAGATAACTTGATCTTCCGCCATCTGCACAGAATCTCTGCCTGTATCATTACCTTCGTCTCCGTCCAGATCATCCCTCGTGCGTTGGAGACACCTTCAATCGTTCTGCTGCATCTTTCCTTCCATATGACCCAAAGGGTCACCTTCCTGATGAGTCCATACCAAATCCTTTCTGCTTTCCATGGCAGTTCAGGGATGTTAATCAGAAGGAGAAGTTGGATGGGGTGTTCAGGGAACGGGGTAGTGAAGAGGGAGTCCCAGAGGGTCGAGGCTCTCGCCCAGTAGTCCGTCGCCTCCCTACAGTATATTAGGCAGTGTACTATGTTCTCTACTGCATTCTCCGTGCACACCTTACATTGATCAGAACTGTCCGGTACGGAATCCTTCCTAACGTGGAGCCATTGATTGACTGGTAGTGCTGCGTAAATTATCAGCCATTGAAGGTTTCTGATTTTGACTGGTCTGATCATTTAATATGCTTTCCACGGGATCTTCGTGATTTTGTCCGCTTCTTGTCCTAGCAGCTTCGGTCATCTTGTCTTGATCACCGGTTCTGGGTCTTTTGTTTTTAACAGAAGTTTGTACCCTAGTTTGACCGTGTAGTTTTGTATGAGGGTGAGCCTCTTAACGTTTATCTCCTTATCTGGTTTCCACGCCCACTCCCCCGGGTCGAACTCCAAGCTTTGAATTGCCGTATCAATTCTGAAAATGAACTTCGGCCATGTGCCCAACACTCTTACTTTTCTGAGCAGGAAGTATTCCATGACTGTGGTTTCCATGTTGACATTCATAATCGACGGCATACCCTTCGTAGAGTGTATAATCGGGAAGGAAGTGAACACCGCACGAGTGGCAGAACCTTGCCGTAAATGTGAGAATTGAAACACCCTAGAGGGATTATTCTCTTGAATTTTAACCCCCCATTCACCATTAGTCCCCGCCCTATTTCAACATATCTCTCCACTCATGGGGGACCAGATTGGTAATGTATTGCAAGTTAGGACCTCTTTTGTGGCAGCCCTTTAACCATGTACTTTCTTTTCGTCGTTCCACAAGTGTCCAATTGTCCAAACCCCATTCTTCACCCAAGATAGCCATTTGTGGTCTAAGAACAAGGGTTCATCATTTTCGCTCCTCAACCACTCGTTGCCGAATAACGGCTGCCTCAACACCTCATCCTTTGATTTGGGTCTGTTGATCTTTGGCATTATTGCCCTCCAAATCCGGATGAGAGCCGCCCAATATGGTGTTTGACGGTTGTCTATGTTCTGCTCTATTTCTCCTCCGGATCTTCTTCTCACCTTTTTCAATGCCCATTCCTTGTTCATTACCCAGAATAAACCCGTCATGTAGCTTGGCGATGGCACCGGAGCCAGAGCCCTTATGCTGTCCAGGGCAAGATTGTTCCATGCCGTTCCTGGTTTGGTCAGCAGCCGGACTATCCATTTTGCTTGAAGGGCTTTTGTCTCGCACCGTGTTCATATTTTACCCCTCCCAGGAAGACAAAAAACACACATCCCCAAACACAATTGAGCTCCCGCATCACCGGTGTCTCCATTGAGGTACACCGGAACTGATTGACTGGACCTTCCCTAATCTCCGAACGACTTGGCGATCTCCGCAATGACTCGGTGAACATCTTATACTCTCCCCCGATAAGAGATCTGTCTGCAACCTCAACACACTATCATACTTGACCAATTCCCCGCCGAATTGATCACCTCTCTTAGTGTCGACACCCTCATCGACAACCAGGAAGCACATGGTCAGTACTCCACATAGCAATTACAAACATGCATGCATATAGCAAACTCACACGGCACATGGAACATGGAAATCTCAGCAAAACAATAGAAAACTCAGACTGATTCTGTGCGGGTCATTACAATTCCCACCGACCCAGAAGCGAGGTCCCTTCGAGCTAGGAAGAACCTAAGGATCTGCATAGAATGTGAAAAGTGCAAGTGTACGCTCGCCTGCATTGTAGTCACGCATCAGTCCACACTCGTATGCATTGACAACACAAGGTGCGGTAGTCTGCAGGTCAGACCAAGAAATCCAATGAAAATCATCAGGGCGGTGATACAGAAAACGCACCAGATATTTGTGTTTTCAACCTTTACCATTGTGTTCACAAATGTGATCAATCTCAAAGATTCCATTAATGAGACGTGGAATCATGGACAACCTGCTGGGAAATTTTTCAGAGCTAGTGCAGGGTTACAACTTAGATGCATGAAACACCGTATACGTATGCA